ATTGTGTAAAGACACAAGTATGTTCATCTATATTTCTGACATAGCAGACTCACGATACCAGGTATAAATCTTGCCCATCTGCTGTGGAACAATCCTTTTCTACACTATAAATACGTATTACTCTTATTGGTTAATAAAAAGTTGACAGGCTGGTAGCTGGGCAGGAAGTTAGATAGGAAAGTCAAACTGAGAATGATGGGAAGAAGGAGGGCAGAGTCAGGGAGACGCCATCCAGCTGCCCAGGAAGCAAGACATGCTAGAGGGCAGGTAAAGCCACGAGCCACGGGACAATACATAGATAAATAGGAATGGGTTAATTTAAATGTAAGAGTTAGCTAGTAACAAGCCTGAGCTACTGGTCAAGCATTCATAATTCATATTCAGCCTCTGAGCTGGTTATTTGGGACAGGGTAGTTGGGACAGAAAACATCCGTTGACACCCATCTGAATTATTTTGTTCTTTTCCTTTTTTTTCTTTTTTAAACTTTATGTGTATGTGTGTTTGCGTGTGCTCCATGGGGTGTACATGGAAGTCAGAGGACAACTTGCAGGAGTTGGTTCTCTCCTTTTGCTATATGGGTCCCAGGAATTGAATTCAGGTCATCAGGCTTGACAAGCACCTTTACCCACTGACCTAGCTTATCAACCCTCACCTTTTGCTGTGTAGTCCAAACGGACTTCAAACTTGAGCTCTTCCTGCCTCTGACTCCCTAGTGCTAGATTACAGGTTGTGCCAACACATGTGGCAACTCAAAGCTTTTGAGCAGCGACAGTTAGCCACCAAAAGAACGTGTGTTGGTTATGACCAAATTGAAGCTGTCAGTTCATGGCAATTTGTATGAATGGTCTTTATGGGAACAACAGACACATTTTTAAATTCTTCTATTAGCCAAGACTAATTGTTGAGCAAGGTGCAGTGGTGTTCCCCTACTGTCCTAGCATTCAAGAGGCTAAGGCAGAAGAATTGCTGTAAGTCTTTATTCCATGACTGTGTTATCCAAGGTGTTGCATTACCTCTCAGGGTCTGGAATGTCTTTTTTTTATATAAAAATATAAGGGTCTCAGTAGAGATCAGGGACCCTCAGTCTTGATGTATGCCCGCTGTAATCACAGCTTCATATTCTGAGCAACAGTGGTGGGTTGTGGAGTCATAGTGTAGCAGATGTGGAAGAGGTCCAGTGGTCATCTGGCTCAGTCTTGATATAAGCCAGGAGGGGTTATGTGTTCTCTAGATACTTTTCCCAGTCAACATGTACCTGACTCACTCTGGTTTGTGGATGGCTTTTTTTTAAAAAAACCTGTATTAGCCCAGACTAGGTGATATCTGCTCTGCAAATCTGAAAGCTGTAAATTGTATCTTCATAAAGTGAGTTCATGATCATTATGACAGCATCTGAGAGAATCGACCCATAAGGATAAGGGTTGGTATTGTAAAAAAACAAAACAAAACAAGAAAACACAAGATTTTGCTGGCCTTTGAAAACTTAGCTGAGCATTTGAATCTATGGGAGAGCTTTTAAAAAACACTGATTGTGATGGATTGTAAAACATGGCTACAATCAGACTCTTCTCTTGACAATGTGATCTTTCAGTTTCTCTCACTAAGGAGTGAAGCTATCCCATTTCTCCCTTATGAATCTGGAACAGACGTTGGTTTCCTTCCGTCAACAGGATACAGCAGAAGTGACTTTATCAGGTTCACATTTGGGCCCTAAGGAACTTTTGGAGCTTTCTTTGAATCCTGGAATGCAGCTGAGCCCAGCTAACTGTGAGATAAAAATTAGAGTTGTCCAAACTAATGCCACCCTAGTCTAGCCAGATCCCAGTCAGAGAACTGATGGCAGATACATGAGTAAGCATAGTCAGGGTCAAAGAACCACTTAGCTGGGGCCAACTCAAGCTGGCAACTACTAGAACTGTGAGTTATATATTTTGGCAGAATCTAGGTTCACTGTGAGGCCTCCCAGTTCCATGTAGGCTTGTCTATGTGTTTTGATTCTTTCATAGGTGACAATCCTTTTGAGTTACCACATGTGATCTCATCTGAACAAGGGCAAGGCAGGATAGAACAGGCTATCTCTTATGTTTTAATGGGTGAAGAATAAGAAAACTGACAGGCATCTCTAAGTGTTTTGTGATTGATAACAAGAATGACAGGTTAGTTGATCATAGGATGTATTGTGTGTCCTTATCCAGGTAGGACAACTTTGCTGTTCTCTATGAAACTGCAATAGGAGGAATAATACTTAGTTCTTTCAATCAAAATAAAAAGAAATGTCTGCAAGATGACTCAGCTGGTAAAGATACTTGCAGCCAAGCCGGAGGACATGAGTTTGATCTCTGGAACCCACATGCTGGAAGAAGAAAACACACACACACACACACACACACACACACACACACACACACACACACACACACACAGAGAGAGAGAGAGAGAAAGAGAGAGACAGCAACTGAGCCATGATCAATGAATTAAAGCAGTTTATTTGACATTAATTGTAGGATTTACAGCACTACCATTTAATGATAGAATAAAAATAGAAATAATCCAGTGTAAGCAGCCTTGCAGATCAAACATTAGGGTGGGGGAAATGAGCCATCTTGAAAATGCAATCAACATTCAAAGAAATCTTCCAAAAAGAAAGGACTGGGGACTTACGAAGGGCTGAGCATATGATGAATATGATGATTATTCATTCTCAATAATAAAGCGTGAGCCTCACTCCCACCAGGATTTCAGGGCAGCCACCGAATATATACCCTGTTGACCAACCCTGGAAACTATTTCAGCGCCGTGTGACTTTGTATGTCTGAGCTGGGGTAAAACCTGGGTATAACGTGCTTGGAAACATAACTCAGGGAGGAAAGGAGGCTGAGAGTCAGCACCGGGGCTTTTCTTCAGAGTAGGAGGGAGTATGGTTTCCTGGTTTTCAACACAAGAGGGGTTGATTAACGGGACTTAAAGAAGTTGACTAAAACCTCCAATTTTCCGGAGATAACGGTTTTGCGCATGACTGGGGTCTCTTGGCCTCTCTGAGTCTGGCTGAAGATCTATGACAAGGAGTTGGGTTTCCACTAAAGAGGTAGAGTCCTGGAATGGCCAGCCAGGGCAGGAAGCACAGCCAGGGCCATAGCAGGGAGCCCCCCCATAGCCACGCCCCCGTGACGTCACGGATCCCGTCCATTTTTTCCGAACTTTAAAAAGAGGTGGGGGCAAATTCTCTCTCTACTCGTCTTTCTTTCACGACCGTCACCTTTAAATACCACCATAAAGCAACCAAAAGACTAGAAGGGACGGCTAAAGGCACACAGGCCAGCAGGTGAAATTAAATAGTGGTTTCTGAACCAAAAGTAAACATCCGGGGTGGGGGTGGGTGGGGGTGGGGGTTGGGGGGGCAGGGCCTAATGTGAGAGGTGGATCCTACGCACAAAACCGGATAAAAGAAAATATATGGGAACTTGGTTTTACTTCTCTTTGGTGTGAGCAGTAAGAATTCACTGAGCAAGAACGATTCCACAGATCGATGCTAATAAAGCACTGACCTGGGAGAATTATTGGGAGGGGTGGCTCCTTCTCCTGCAATCCACGGAAACGCTTTCTTTGAGAACATGCGGATGAGAAGAACGCACTAGAGTGGTGGTCAGTTCCTGAGTCCCCTGGTCCATGCCATTCTTTGGCATCATGCTCTGTAGAGAAGACACCGAACGGTTTTTTGGGGGGACTGAGAAGAAAAAGAGGGTTGTTGATTGGAGGTGGTGATTAGAAGCGACCTAACAAGATGGTGCCAGTATGCCATATCCCCTGGGCTCCAAATTGCTCTCACCTAACTAAAACTTCTCAAGCCTGATGAAGCTTGTGTTCTTGTTTTGGGAAATCCAATAAGCCAGGTGTTTTATAACCTTTCATGATGGGCTACTGGCTCACACTGTTTGGGCTTGTGTAACACAAAGCGAAACAGTTGGGTGGGGGAAGGGGGGTTGTATTTTACATTTCAGGAAGGGTTTTCTAATTATGTGACTATCTGTTAGCTAGGTAGCCTGTATATACTGAACTGTTCTCCAATAGCAGACTCCCTGACCTTATCTGAAAAGGAACCTGTCCTAGATAGAAAACTGAGTCAGGCTAAATGCCAAATGTAGCCAAAGTAAGGGAAATGGGAGAATAACCCACGTTCTACAACTTTTTTGAAAAGGACTTTCGAGCAGAAATAAAACAGGCATTGGTGGGCCATGGTTCTGGTAGGCTTGGTTGCTGTGGTTCAACCGGCCCCTAAACACCATCCACTATGTGAGTAACCTGCCTGGCCCCTCTGAGATACAGGAAGACCAGGAATCTTTTTCTCACCTGCAAGCTTTCAGGTCTAAGAATTGTGAAGCTACAATCATTTAGAAATCAAACACTAGAAAATCATACCTTTGATTCTTAAGGCATTGCCCCCCAAATTATAGATATGATAGGTAAGTGGTATGCAGAAGGTGTCTGGGAAGCCTACTGATAGCAAGTGCCTTCTCCTGGCTTGAGTGAATAACTGAATCCCTTGCAGGAGTCAATATGGAAGAAAGTCCTTTGGTGAAGGCCCAGGCTTCCCCTGAGTGGAGCCCGTGTGTGTGTGTGTGTGTGTGTGTGTGTGTGTGTATGTGTGTGTGTGTGTGTGTACTTAGCGGTTCACAGATGATGCATGATCACCAAGTTCTCCCTCTTCCCTTTCCTGTATGAATTGGGGCCTAACTTTATGTTGGCATTTGCTCAAGGGCTCTTAGAGATGTTTTGGGGTCCTGAGAGGTTGAGGATGGAAAATTTGGACCTAGGTCTCTTTAAAGCTGATAGACATGGAGATCTCTTCCTAGAGCCCCAAACCTACCTTCTAAGCCCAGGCATTACCATTTATTTCCCAGGCCAGCTCCACATACCTCCACAGGAGGAAAATCCAGGCCAAGTAGAAGTAATTCCGTGGTTCTTGTGTTTCCAAGGAAAAGGACATTCATTGGCACAAAGATTGAGTAAAAACCCTTTAATAACAAAATAACATTCACAATGTAGCTACTTCAGTTGTCTGGAAAACTCAGCTTATACTTGATTCAACGTATCACTTTCCACAGTTTAAAAAAAAGGAAATAAAACGGCATAACAAAATATACCTCAAATTTCATAAGACAAGTCTTCTTGGCAAATTCTAATGAGCCAGACCCCTGTGTTGCTTGTAGTAAAGAAGGCCAGGCATGCTCATGTCTCACACACCCCTTTGTCTGCTTTGGATCAAAAATACATTAGAACGTTGACGATATTATTACATCTGCATCATAAGGAACAGTTTGCAGGCTTGTGAGTGTGAAGAGAACTTAGGGAAACAAATAGTGACTTGACTTATTGCAGAAGAATATGTAAAGCTTTCTGGAAGATTAAACACTATTACAATCAACAACTGGCTTACAAAAGCTGATTTTAAAGTTCTTGTATCCATTCCCATCTTTGGCAGATTAATAAAAGGAAACAAACAAACAAAAAGACTACATTACAAAGCTTTCATCATCACAACCCACTTATAAGGCCGTTCCTTTGCATCAGTGAAAGAACATCTCCAACATACTCACTGACAGACACACATGCAACGTTCTGCTGTCTGTTGGTGATTTCCAATATTCTGCACGGCAGACTGCTGTGTTCCCACCATTGTTTCCTTATCTTCGTTCTCTCCTGCAGAACTGCGGAACTTGGCAGTTGATTTGGCTTTATGGGGAGCATACTGGTGTAGGAAATAGGTATGAAACTCAAGAATGGATCTCAGAACCCAAATATAAGAATATGTTTGCCCAATCCACTGGGACTGAAAAATAATTTTTGAGCTAGAGAGACCTCAAAGACTGGGGAATTCAAACCAAGATGGTTTTCCTAAATTGGTTCTTAAAATTCTTATACTCCCCTTTAGAATATAGGTATAACTTTGTAAAAAGGAATCTAGAGTCATTTCTGACCTTAAGGAGAAAAAATGACAGGGCCACATGAGGGAACGTTTAGGGAATGGCCATATATTCTTGTCCAAATAACTGGTGGGGTTATCCATGAGAGTGTATCAAAAGGCCAGGGATGAATTACTGATATGGACGCTACATGCATTTCTACTGGGAACTGACGACAGAATCCTAGAAGAAGCCAGTCCCCACGGGAAAATCCGGGAAAGAGAGACCTAGATGAATTAGCATTGTTGTATACATGGCCCAATAGGTCTGAGGTCATGAACATAAAGCTAAAACTCCTTTTAGTGGAAATTAAAAATGCAGAGGTGAGTTGCTCTCTACTGCTCATTTTCAACTCTCTTAGATATAGTGATCTATCTGGGTTATGAGGGTCCCAATTTGTGGGGGTCAAGTAAGTGAACTCCAACTTGGATGACCTTTCTCATTATAAAATTCAAGCCTGATTTAATCTGACTCATTTTGAAATCCCAACAGATGTAAAGGTATTTTCATCTCCCAAGAAAACCAGTATTATCACTGTCTGAGGCCAAACTGTGTACATTTTTCACAGTTTAATGTATACACAACTGTTCACGACTGCTAACAAATGAGAGACGCCCATGCATAAATAATGTCCATTGAACCAAAGGGGAAGATCTAGTACAAAATGAAAAATGTTGCTAGTAAGACCACAATGCATCACACTGCTAAATTTTTAGCCTCATGCATAAAATTATAGCACTGATTGGCAGTTGCTAATTATAATACTACACTGTTAACACAGAACAATTAGCACAAATGTAGAAAATAACTTTTTTTTTCAACAAAGCAAATGAACACAGATTGTTTCTTCAGCAAAATATGAAACTGTAAACTTTGGGCTCATTCTGCGTCTTTCCCCAATCCAGAATAAATAAAATCCAAAGGGGTGGGGGGAAGAAAAATAAAAAGCACATACATTTCCTTTTTAAGCGCACATTGTCATCTATTACAAAAGCACAACCTAAACTGTATAAAGCTTTTTTTTCTCTTTTTTTCTTTTTTTAAATCACAGTTACCAAAAGAAAACAGTGAATAATTTATTACATACGCTATAATAACATTACTCTAAACACTATTATCTATGAGGTATATCTGAGAAAATTCGGTAAGGAATTACGCGGTCTGCATTGCCAACATGCCCAGGTTCATATTAAAGCTTTGGAACCGTGAGGGACTAGAAAAGGGGGACGACAGGGAGGCAGAAGGAAGAGACGTCGAGAAAGAAGCTTTGGTATTAGTACAAATCTTGTTCTTTGCAGGGTTGCATTGCAAAGCACCGCAGTACGGTAAGCCCACCAATTTACTGGTGTGGAGGCCCGGTTGCAGCTGAGGTATTCACAGGAAGGATTAAAAAAAGCACAGAGAGGTCCAGACTGGCTAAATCGTTGCTTTGGTTCAAGCAAGGCACTCGTCCCTTGTGGTTATGTCACACTTTGCAAGTGAAGCATGAGGCTGGGGTCGGGGTGGGGGTGAGGGGGGTCGCCGAAGAGGGAGGGTCTGGCAATTGAGATGTTTTCTGTGTTCCGGCTGCCATTGCTCTTTCTAGGTTCTCTGTCCTAGGGGCTCAGTGGTAGGAAGGCTGGGGAAGGCGATGTTGCTTACAGGGAACAACTACTCCAATGCTTAGTGAATTTGTTGTCTCCCAGGTATTTCTGAGAAAGTTTGCTTCCACTAGGAATTTGGTGATAGGCTGCTTGGAAAGAAGGCCTGGCAGGTTTGCCTTGTATACGGAGACCTTGGAATCTTAGTCTCTATCTAGGTGGGAAAGGATTTCCACATATACCAGGATGGAGCTTGCAAACTTCAGAAAAAAGACAACTGGCCGGACATGGTGGTGGTTCACAACTGCAGTCCCACAACTAGGGACACAGAGGCAGGAGAATTGGAAGTTTCAAGCCATCCTTATCTATGCAATTAGTTTAAGGCTAGCTTGGACCACATGAGACCCTGTCTTTAAAAAGAAGAAGAAGGAGAAAGAGAAAGGCTATGTGTTTCATAGTGTATACGTCTGTTTTAAATTCTTTTATCAGCTATACTCTGTTGGTGTATGGAACTGAAGAGTTAATTGATCTTCCCTTCTTAGCTTTATCTAATAGTCTCTTTAAAAGCTCAGTGATAACTATTATGTGACATGTAAAATCACAGTATTCAATAAAGAGCTCTGTGGACTAGAGATAGGAATTGGTATGTACCTAAATCCCAAAAGCTGAAAAAGATTCACTGGCTAACGTTTCAGTCACATTGGTGAATGATCTTAACAGTGATTTAGTCGTTTAATAGAATCTAAAGAAACTTAAAGGAGACCAATTAAGTTTTGATAAGGAAAAAAGGAGAGAAGTAACTTTAAGTAACCGTTATTTAAACTAGTAGATCCATTCTTCTGATACCGGGATATTTTTCATTGATGTTTGATACATCTTAGTATCAAACAATGTAAGGCTTATATTTAACTTATAAATAAAATTAATTTAGAAGTGTAATGGGAACACTTTCCAGTAAAAGGAAAAAAGTGAACAAACAAAAAAGCTGACAGCTAAAATATCCTACCGAAAATGGTAATCAAGTTCCCTTGCTTGATAAATATTGACTTCAGAATAGCCATAGCCATTAAACTCAGTGGGTCGAGATTGTGCTTTCTCCTTCCACTGATTACAAGCTTATTTATTCAAAATTTTGTAATGGGTGGGTTCAAAAGTCATCTTACTATCTGGGTCCATATGCTTCCCAGGGCAGACACCCTGAGTGAACCCTGGAAGTTCAAGACTGGCCACGTTACTAAGCAACAGATCATATATGACTCTGGATATATCATCTAAGGTGTAGGTACCTGAATAGTATTCTTAGAGGATGAAAGTATTAAAGAATGACTACTTTCCGACTTGACAGCGTGTGACCAATGTCAGGGAGAGCCTGCAGAGCACCACAGAAGAGGCAGCACATAGGACCTGGAGCCAGGAAGCATGGGTTGGCTTTGGCTCTGGGGTTACTGGACTTAGATAACTACTTCAACCTGGCCATGGTAGGGTGGGCAGTGGTGACTGGATGTGTTCTAAAGTCCCTTCCAGCTCTCCCAGCCAGTGCTTATTTCTGTAGTTGCATTAGCTCGGTCGGCACTTTTCCCTGTGACAGCTCCAGGAAACAGAGGTCACAACTAGGCCCGTAGGCCACCACCTCCAAGCAGTCTTCTTCACCAAATTGGAACGGGAACTTTAAAGAATCCAATGACAGCAGCATCCCGACTTGCCTCCTGAACATGTAGCAGGTGGGAGTGGGGGGAGAGTAGCAGGCAAAGGCCGGAGACACAGAAAATATCCCTCTCCAGGTTAGCAGCCCCCTTCGTGTACATCATTGTTTCTTTGGGGTGTCTGAGCTGTGGCTGTACATACCATATGTCAGAAAGAAGAGTTCAAATCATAAAAGAGCACAAGCAAAATGCAGACCGCACAGAGAAAGGAATCTTTGGTATCTTTGGTGTCATCAACACGATTAAAATTACAAATGGAAAAAGTCAGTGAGGTAGCCTTCTTTGGTTCTCACTACAAATAGAAAGTTTTTCCGTTTTTTCCTTTTTTTTTTCTGCTTTTTTTTTTCCCTTTTTGTTTTGTTGCTTTACACGCACACTGAGTTCTTTCTTGGAAGCAGCTAGTGTAAGGGTTCTCTCTTTTTGGTTTATGATTTTTTTTTAAATTTATTTTTCCAGTTTCCATATAGAAGCCCCGAAATCCGGGCTGGTGAAGTTGGATCTCAGCTCGAGGGTTCTGAAGCAGGTTCAAGCTGAGCAGGTCACTGCTTGTCCACACATCTGCTCTGTTGTTCTGACAGCAAACAGACCGCAGTGCTCGCTCTCTGTTGTTTTAAATAACAAACACAAACTATACAGCGCATCTGTCACAGATGCCGAATAAGTTAAATAAATAAGTTACCATAGAAAGGCTCTGAGGGCCCCGGTAATTAAGAGGTGAAGTTCACCTGGCACCCAGTGGCACTGTGAACTTAAATTAAATAATTAAATAACCATTAAACCATTTCAAAAGTTAATCCAGCAAGGGGAAATGCCCCCAGATTGTTTTTCATTTTCCTTGTAACCTATGTTTCTTCCCTGTCTGTAACAGAAGTTCACTGCTTTATGAAGCAGACTCCACTAGAGGAGGACAGCTAAGGTTTTGCATCTCAGATGCATCGGCTGCTCTATGTCTTGATAAATAAGAACAAGGAGTAAAATCGAACTAAGGAAAGAGAATTAAATAATTACCCAAATCCTACATGCTAGTATACAAGAAACTAATTTAAATAAATTAATTATATTAACAGCTTGTTGGGTCACAGTTGAAAGAGACACGTGAAAATATAGCTGAGGGGTGGAGGATGGGCTGTCTTCATTTTTTTTCCTTTTGATGGACAAAATGGGTCATTTCTTTCTATATTCTAAGTCAAAATAAAGCAGCAAAGTATGACTTCTAAAGCTTTATCACATTACAGATCACTTTGATGGGACAAACATGAGGAAAAAAATCACCATCCCAATTAGTTAATCTCCACATGCTCATACCACCACTGTTTCAACCATGGAAACCAGAGCCCACTGTCTGCCATTGATTTGACTTGACTCTGAGTCCTCCAACCCCTTTTTTGTTCTTTTTCAGGTCTTTGGATTTAGCTTTAGTTACGAAAGACTCAGAATAAAGCTATTCAACCAAAGTCATCAAACATCTAACACAGATAATTAAATAATATCTAATGTTCCATTATGAGTTGTTTGTCCTTGCTGGACCCAAATGAAAGTAATTTCAAGTATCATGATGAATGATGATGTTGGATACTTTTGCTTACATTTTTGCACTTTGGTTTTCAGCATTACAATAAATAATAAGACAAGGTACATTGTCAAAGTATCATATACATGTCGCATGATGATTTGAAATTTATTGTAACAGATTACAATATATATATGTATTAAGCGTGTCTGTACACACTTGCATGTACACATCTAGACACCTCTAGGCAATGTATGTGGATGTAAAGTTAATTATGAGGATCTATGTTGAAATATGTATCTAGATCTGTATACATCCAAGCCCACAGACAGTATAAGTGTCAGGCAAACTTATCTACCAAGGTCTATGCCATATAAAATTCCCATTGCTAAAAATGGAACCAAATGGAAAATTCCCATGGAATGACCAAGCCTATGGTGATATTTTTTTTTCTTACATACATTTTTCTCCACTAAAAAGTATAAACTGGTTAATGTCAATCAACCTAACTGAAAGTCCACAGAGGTAGAGCCTGGGCTCTAGACCTAGACCTTTCACTTTCCTATGACTGTTAGTTACTTGGGTAATTGAGGTTGATGAATGCTTAAGGTCCTGTGGACTCCCAGCATAACCCATGGGCCTTAATGAAAAGTTTTGTATCTATGTATATGAGATCCTATGTTATTTTAAGAACGTAATTTTTTTGTTTCACAAGTACTTGGGACTTTCTAAAACAAACCAATCAACCACCTACCCTTGCCCCCTACCTTGCAAAGAAACAAAGTGTAGATAGAAATTAGGAATTAGGGCATCCATAGTTCAAGCAACTACCTGGGTAGGATACTGCTCTTAAGTGGGGATTTACTTTGGCTTATTTTACAACTGGACTCTCTGGTTGGCTAAACTGCAGAGAACTGTTGAGCTGTCCAGCTTTGCAAACAACCATCAGAAAGGCTCTATCCCTTCATCTGCTTTCCACTCACTTGGTTAGGCCAGCAAGTTTGAATCAGAGCATCAACAGGACAGTAAAATGTCAGCTCTGATTGGGTAGGAATCTACAAGAGGTACTGTCAAAGTAGTGTCTGGGCCATGTGGTCAACATTAACTAACCACAGCTGCTATCTACTTTCCCCAGTTTTCAATAGACTCTATTATTCTCTAACAATCTTGGACCTTAGTCTGTTTGTAGATTTTGAAAAATTCCAATTAGACAAGCTCCTGAAGACCCATTTCCTCCAAAAGTGTATTTCCATGATATTTTGATAGTATCAAGCTAACAGACATATCCCTAGACTTTTTTTTTATTATTAATGGGACAGTTCCTCTCTGTATCTACTAAATAATGGCTGTTTGTTTAAAAATCTGCTCAATTTTGATGTACTGGCACTAAAACATGGATGCCCAGCATAGACAGTGTTTGCTTATTTAAAATTAAGTTATTAATATTTGGCTTTGGAACTAACTGCTTGCCTTAGGGAAGTGTGTGTGTGTGAGTGTGTGTGTGTGTGTGTGTGTGTGTGTGTGTGTGTGTGTGTGTGTTTGTGTGTGTGTGTGTGTGAGACCTTAGTCTGTTTGTAGATTTTGAAAAATTCCAATTAGACAAGCTCCTGAAGACCCATTTCCTCCAAAAGTGTATTTCCATGATATTTTGATAGTATCAAGCTAACAGACATATCCCTAGACTTTTTTTTTATTATTAATGGGACAGTTCCTCTCTGTATCTACTAAATAATGGCTGTTTGTTTAAAAATCTGCTCAATTTTGATGTACTGGCACTAAAACATGGATGCCCAGCATAGACAGTGTTTGCTTATTTAAAATTAAGTTATTAATATTTGGCTTTGGAACTAACTGCTTGCCTTAGGGAAGTGTGTGTGTGTGAGTGTGTGTGTGTGTGTGTGTGTGTGTGTGTGTGTGTGTGTGTGTGTGTGTGAGTCTAGTAGGTTTAACTACCTAGTTTTCATTTTGCTTTATCTTGAAGTGACATTGAGTTTGGATTTCCAAAGCCAAAGCTGCCAAGAGCCTTTGGAAAAACAGGAGTTGTGTATGCAAGCCTGATCTTTCCTTCCTGGCTCAGACTAGCCTGTACCACTATGTGGCACAAACCAAATGCTCTATAACATTATGGGAAAATCTTTTAAATACTAGAATCGAATTTTTATTATTGTTGTTGTTGTCCTTTAAAAAAAGAAATTTATTGGCTCCCCTTTAAAAGAATTCTGGGAATGAAGGAATTGAATCTCCATTATTAAAATCACACTGAAAACAAAACAAAACAAAAAGCTTAGCTATGCAAAGGCTTAAAGAAAAACACCTTTGACTCAGTAGCTTTGAGCATTTGGATTTCTGTCACCCCAAGAATGTGAAATTGGGTTGTGAGCTATTACTTCACAGTGTCCAGTTGTTGCTGATGGCTGAGGCAGGCTGGAACTTTTCTTGGATTGAGGATGTGGATTATAGGCTATCTCCAAGTCCAAATAGTTATTTTTCTGAAACTATTAATTTAAAATAAAAATTTAAAGGCTTTGGGGAAAAAAAAACACACTGGATTAAATTCTATAACTTTTCAGTATAGTACTTTTTTCCTTTCACCTATCTAGCAAAATGAAACTTTGTACGGCTTAAAATTTTGAGGCATATGTGTACAGACACATATACATATATGTGTGTGTGTGTGTGTGTGTGTGTGTGTGTGTGTGTGTGTGTGTGTGTAACATTTTTAAAGCAAGCATTCTCTTTAATATGATCTGAGATATGTGAGACATTTACCAAGAGTTCTTGGAGGGAAATTCTTGCCTTTTATCTTCATGCCATCATCTTCAAGGATGTGGAGACCCAAATGCTGTTAATTAGTGTCAGTCACCAACCAAAGTAAGATGCTTGGTTCCTCAGTCTGTATTGAAGCAGAACCACCATTCCTGTTGGCCACAATTCACCTTAAGGACTCATTTAGTGTTTACCCAAGTTAAAATTCACCTGACCAAGCTGAAATGGGAGCAATTTCCAGAGGAAAATATACCTTTCTCTTGGTCATTTGACCAAGGGTCCAAGGAGTATAAGCAAGGGACAGAGAGAAACAAGGGAAAAGTGAAAAAAAATTCTCTAGGCAGGATGGATTACAAAAATCACACAGAGCCACATTCTCTAGAAATGATACTCCGTATATAGGACAGCCACAGTGAGCAAGTACAGAAGTGGGACAACCGATGATGTGGCTCTCCAGGGACAGGAACCTGGGACTCTCCCCACAGTCTGCTGTGTGTCTTTTCTCCAGGATTGAGCTATGTCCCCCCAACAACCCTGTCCCACCCCAGTGGCAGCTATGGTTGCATTCAAGCTTATCAATACAGATTGGTAATTACTACCCTGAGGACATCTGGTCAACCTATTGCGAAGGGAGCTGGACTTCCCCATGAGAAGTCCCTGGTGGGTCTGCTCACTTAGAAGAATCTAGACTACTCTGATGGATAGGGCATCTACGGGAAAGTGGATTTCTGGGTGTTCTACTCCACAGAGGATGGGAATGGACCACTAAGCATTCCCAGCAATGAGAGAAGATGAATTCCTCACTGCTAGCAGCAGCAGTAGCTCTGAGCTAATCTGGTAGAGAAACCTTGCTTATCATGGTTGAGGCATAGAATAGAGATGACTAAATACAACTAAAACTCATTTATATCATGAATCCATTCATCAACAAGTTACATGTAGAAACACGTAAACATGACTTTCACCCTTTCCCATAAGTTGACATAGAAATATGAATACTGCCAGACAACCACAGTGGCAAATTAACTCTGGAATGGCATGGAAAATGACAATAGCTATGAACTGAACACTCAGTGAATGGAGCCTATGACAAAAAGATGGAATGAAATTGGACAGCAAAATTTTGGGGTTATCACCAATGCAGGTTGGTTTATATATGTACTCATACATTTAATATATATATATATTTATATCTTTCTTTAGAAATGCAACTTTACAGCTGATTTTTTTTAAAAAGCTAATAGAAAAGTAGAAACTGGCAATTCTTTTTACATGTTTCCCCACCCCCAAATGAAGCCCTGTTACTATGTGGCAGTCACATGAAGATGAGGTTGTAAATTTCTCCATAAATTCTTTGGTTCTGTGGCTCTGGAGAGGACCTATCACCCAGACTCCTACCCCTGACCCTTGCTTCCCTTCCCTCCCCTAATGATGAGACTCTGAACATAGAAGCAATGAACATTCAAGAAACAGTAGTATTTCCCATACTCTGCTGAAGAGAGAGGGGAACATCATTCAGTATCCCAACATCTCAAATTTGGGGTCCATGGAAACTTTGCGGGGGGGGGGGGATTCCATGTTGACTAAAAAGCCATAAAGCAAAAACTAAAGGGAGGCAATCAAATCAAACGAATGACCCTTTCCTTTTGTTGCTTAGAGAAACAAAATCAATTACCTTTGTACAGATCAATGACGCTATAAGTATTTTAGCCAGGCAAAAGAAGGTAATGAACTGAGACAAAAGGTGTGAGAATCCTCATCTTTGGTATTGTAGCTGTTGAGGTTTCTGTTGCTCTGTTCCATGTTCTTTTGAAAAACTGCATAGGCACAAATTAAAGACAATCTTCAACTTTAAGATTACCGAGTGAGTTGTCAAATGAAGCAGCAGCCACTGAGGCTCTCCTGTGTTTTGATTCTTGTCTCAACCCTTTCTTTCAAATCTGCTTCCAAAAAAAAAAAAAAAAAAAAAAAAATGTCCCAAGAGGTCTGTTTGAACACAGTGCGTCTTCGGTGTTTTTTTGTTTTGTTTTGTTTTTATTCTAGCGTGCTTTTCTTGTTGGTGATTTCCAGTGATTGATGGAATCATTTACTCAATTAATGGGACAGTTCCGTTTGTTGCAGAAGTAGGTGCAGAAAAAGTTTCTTTGGTTTCAATAAGTAATTCATACAAAAGTCAGTCTCAAGTGTCTGTAAAGAATCATTGCAGCGTTTGGCTTGCTTTGAACACCCCACGGTGCCCACCTGGGGCCATTCACTGGTAAATATGCACATAGTGACCTTTGTAATCTCCCAGAGTTCTGTGGGCCCTCTTCCACTCGCTATGGAAAAGAGACAACCAGGGCTGGCGTGGCGAATCCACTGCCTGGATGCTTGGTGAATGTCATTGGTATCGCTGGTTGCTCAGCCAGAGGGTGAGCCCAAGACAAGAGCCGCATGCCACTAGGAGTTACAGAGGTGTTCTGATCTCTAAAAGTAATCACAGTATTTGTAGGCTAGAAAATGGCAGGTAATAAATGTCTTTGGTTTGCAGTATTCTGCTTCTTTGGTGTGCTGTGTTCTCTCCAGATTCAGTCGGCTGTTTCACAAGGATGAGTCAACAACAGAAGAGATTTAGGAAGAGGCGACAGGATGTGGCTTATTAAACTGTTTCTTTCTAGAAAACAATAGAAACATCCCCACCAATGGGAATAGGCAGGGACAACACAAATCAGCAAGGATGAGAATGAACCGCGTGGTAGTCGGAACACACATAAGAGGAACTGGGTAGACTGGTAAATCAAGGACATGGCAATGATCTAAAAAAAATCTAGATCTTCTTAAACGATGTATTTGCTCCTGTACTGTAACAGTTAAAATTGGCCTCCTGAGTGTGCATCTGCGTTATATACAAACAGAATTTGTAACAAACTGCAAAATGTGCTTGAAGCCATATTCCCAATGATTCCCTAATGACTTCACAACGGTGAAGACGGATGTAGACCGCCTTGCCAAGCTGGATGCATTGAAACCAGAACCTTCCTTATTTCTGTTTTATCTTTGTTGTGCTTGATACTTTGAGCTCAAGTGAACTGACTTTTCCCCCCCTCGACGGATCCAGAAGACCACATGAGATTTCCAGGAGGTAAGGAAAAGAAAAATTGTAAACTGAAATCAACCTAATGCTTTCTAAACTATCCAGTGAAAAGATGCCTGAGTTGGAAAAAACAGGTCCTTGGATTTTTATTGATTTTCATATTTAAAACTTGTGCTCAGTAATTACCATTCTGATTTATTTTTTTTGTAATGTTATGGCTGAGAACTTTTGTGTATTGTGATATAAAGAAGCTAAGCACTTGGGAGGCAAATGAGGTCTTTCTTGTTGTTAATTCTTTTCATGATGTAGTGTCTTGGAATCCTAAGCTGTGTCTTGACTCAGGCCAAATTCCCACTATTGCTCATGGGCAACAGAGACAAGAGGTTGACTGGGCCTGAATGGGAGACTGTTGATGCTTACATCAATACTGAGCTTGGTGGACACCCTGATGTAATTAACTCCCTCCAAGAAGGCCCCATTTGGATCTCTGGGATGCCTAGCATGCTCAGAGGATAGTGTCTGGTTCAAAGAGATTAATTTTCAGCGTGCACTTGGACTCTGTAGCCATTTAAAACAAAGCAAAACAAAATGAACACCTGGCCTATGATTACAGCTAGAATAGAAGTTTCAGGAGAATTGTGCTTTCAAGTCACCAGTGAAGGGCCCCAGCTAAGAATCGGATGTCTTTGTGATTTTTTTTTTTTTTTTGGTTTTTTGTTTGTTTGTCTGTTTTTGGTTTTTATTGATTTACTTTTTGGTATCTGTTGTCCTCATTGGGAGGTGACTTGTGCCCAGGTGAGAGTCCTTGGATCATGCTTTGGTACAAGTGTTGGAGGTGGAAGAGGAGCCCCCCGCACTTAGGTCATCTTGCCATTTCTCCAGGCTGCGGCGCCGGGCGTTCATGAAGAAGTTACTAACAGTGGTCAGCTCCAGCCCGAGTTGCTGGGAGATGGTGATCTGCATTTCTTTCGAAGGGCGCTTGTTCTCCTTGAAGATGGCGAAGAGCGTCCGGCGTTGGAGGTCCGTGAACACCAGGCGGGATTTCTTCTGGGAGTTGTTCCTGTCTTTGTTAGGTTCTTGCTCTTTGCGCTTGCACGCTTGAGGGAAAGACAAGAAAAGGGAAAGGAGTCAGTGGCAGTGTGAGGACCCAACGGTGATTCGGTGATCCTTTGAAAACATCGGCAAAGTCATAGAGGGGGTGGAAACTGTTAAGTTTTAGTGTGTAGATTACCCGACTGTCAATAGCAAACCAACCCAGTTTGTCTTGGTGATAGAAGGCCTCAGTTAGCAAATGGGGAGCGGGAGAAAGGAGAGCCAGGGCTGGCTGTTCCAGTCTGATTTGGATCTGACTCAACTTGTTTTTCTCTTTTATTCCCACCCCTCTGTACATGCTTAACTCTCTCTGTCTCTCTGTCTGTCTGTCTCTCTCTCTCTCTCTCCCCCTCTCCCTCTTTCTCTCTCTGTGACTCTGAAACTGGGTGTGGTGACGTAGGTGAAGAAGCCCCGCACCAGGGGGAGAGTTGGTGAGGGGGTGCCCTGTACACATTCAATAGAACTGTTCTCAGTTAAGCTGAAGTCACTCCTGGAGTTAAAGTTCACCCCTTCAAACACACAAGCAAGGCATCAATTCACACAACTTCAAACATTGTGAATAGGAGGAAACACAAGGCGACAGATGAAAGCATCCTGACCTGAATCCTGTCCATCCAGACATTTAAAAAGAAAACAAACAAACAAATCTCAGAAAAGTCGGTTTAGCCTATTTTGGCCACTTGAAAGTGAGGCCAAAACAGGAAAACAGGTGTGTGTTTGTGTGAGTGGAGGGGCTTAGGGGTAAGAAATAAGCCAAAGTTGCAATGACAGCCTTTAGGATCCTAAATATGTCTACTGCCATATGCTTGGATTTAGCAGATGTGAGAAGCTACATGTGAATGACATATGTGACCAGGACATTTTTCTACCCATCAGCCCCTCTCCTTTAGTCTGCAGCTCCTTAGAAGGCAGTGACCAATTGCGTCTGATATTCCTAACTTACTCTTTGGAGCAGGGATAATGGGTTATACTTGGCACCAAGTGGTGACAAATGGCATCTTGACTCAGGGAACTGGGTTCTTCCCTCTGAAACTCTCCAAGCCAGGCCTCCATTATCTGACTGCTCTCAACATTGTTATCTTTCAGGCTTCCTCAGAACATCTCACTGAGCCCTCAGCACTCAGTGACTTTTCTAGCCCAAAGTGCCAAAGTCCTCCCCGCCCTCTGAAATCAACATGGTAAGCTCGGTCACAGCAATATCCAACTCCTGATACCATTTTGTCTTAGGCAGTATTCTGTTGCTGTGATGAAACACCATGACCAAAAGCAACTTGGGAAGGGAAGAGTTTTATTTCCCTAACAGTTCCACATAACGGGTCATCCTCAAAAGCAGTGAGGGCAGGAAGTCAAGCAGGGTGCGAACCTGGAGGCAGGAGCTGGCGCAGAGGCCATGGAGGGGTGCTGCTTGGTGGCTTGCTCCTCGTGGCTTGTTCACCCTGCTTTCTTATAGCACCCAGGACCACCAGCCCAAGGATGGTACCACCCACAGTATAGCTCATGATATTTTGCCATAGCAACTGGAATGGACTTGAAGAGGAGTTAACTCAAGGACAACACTCAAAGGGAAAATCCTCTGGACACTGAACCTCTCACCTAACTCGTGGATGCTCTCTATCTTTCCACACAGAGACAAAGAAAACTCACTCCTGAAGTAGACAAGATGTGTACCCTCCAAGGGCTGCCGGAGTAGAGGGACCTCTGATGGAAAAACTGCTGGAGCATGTCAGTTTTGGTAAATAATTTCCTCCTGATTTGTTCTTCTCTCATTAAGAAGAAAAAGGAGGAGGAGGGAAGGAAGGAAGGAAGGAAGGAAGGAAGGAAGGAAGGAAAGAAAGAAAGAAAGAAAGAAAGAAAGAAAGAAAGAAAGAAAGAAAGAAAGAAAGAAAGAAAGAAAGAAAGACAGGAAGGAAGGCAGGCAGGAAGGAAGGCAGGCAGGAAGGAAGGAAGGAAGGAAGGAAGGAAGGAAAGAAAGAAAGAAAGAAAGAAAGAAAGAAAGAAAGACAGGAAGGAAGGCAGGCAGGAAGGAAGGCAGGCAGGAAGGAAGGAAGGAAGGAAGGAAGGAAAAGAAACAAACTGTATTATCTTCTGAAAGAAAGCATAGCCACACAAGAACTTTTCTGTTGGAGGGTTTGTGGTTTTCTCATGAGGGGAGGCTCCCGGGCCATGTGATTTCAGACAGCAGTCACTGAGACTTCCTGCCACACCACCCTTGGATAGCTTCCCCATGCACACTTCCTTGTTCACCCCCACCCCTGCCCGCCCCACCAGGTTCTCATGGCTTGTTGGATTATGTGGGTTCCTGTCTGGTTGTCCTCAGCACATGCTGAGACTCTCACGCCATATTTCGGGTCATCTATCAAAGTGGTTCTGAACTTTAGGGTGTGCACGAGTCATCTGAAGAGCACTTCACAAACACAGGTGTGGATGCAGCCTGGCTGGATGGTGGGTGGAGATTCTGCACTATACATGAGGCTCCTAGGTGATGCTGTTCCCAGTGGTCCACGTGCCTCAGTCTGAATTACTTGCTTCCTAAAATCTTCCAGGAGCACCTGCTACATGGAAAGCTCTGGGGTTAGAGGTGCCCGGGTTCAAATTCTGACTCCCACTTCTAAAGCTTGAGACCTCAGAGTACTTAAGCTTTCAGGGCCTGGATTCCTGAGTCCAATAAAGAAGTCACAGTGCCAGTCTCCACTCATTGGATTAACCCCAGCAACTCCGAGCTAGACACATCAGGCAGGATGATTGTCATTTTAAAAGGAAATAAGTGACCAAGCTTCCTCCTTCCCTTCCACAGAACAGCACCTTTTGCAAGGGGAGGGGCCTCTGTGCAGGGCGGTGTTCAGTCCTCTCCAGAGATTCTGTGGAGTACTGCCATTACACTCCCCACAGGTTTTTCTGAGATGTGGGAAACAATGTGCTTGGCCACAGTGCTTGGTACTGCCACATCGGGTTCTCAGATCCCAGCCCTGCCCCAGCCTCCTGGGGGTGGAGCCTTCATCTGGAGGATTCTTAATAAATAGTGATGCACAATTATCACCTGGTAAAATCTGAGCAAATAGCTTCTGTAAACATTGGCTGAAGTCCTCTGTCAACTCACCCTTCTCTGGATTAGTCACGTAGCCCTCAATTTTCATACCAATATTGATCACCCTTCAGATAAGCCTCTGTTTGTGTTTTTAGTACAGTGATTACACTGTGTGGGAGAAGTCCACATTGGTCTGTCAGATTATATTTGGTGAGATACAGACAGATTAGATAGATATTAGATTTATATACTTAGAAAAATATTAAATGCTTAAAATGTTCAGCACTGCAGAGAAATAATAGATCAATACTTTCTTTCTATGCTTTTCCAATTGCCTTCCAGAGTCACCAGATTACACATCAGTAAATGCAATGTTACAGTCAATGTATACCAAGCCAAGAAAGCCAAAATAATGAACTTGCTCAGATTATCAATAGCTGGTAGTTGGCAACTCATGATTTTTACTCACAAAGTCATCTGGTCAGGGGTCCAGGTGTGGAGAGCACGTATCCGTGGAGTGCTCAGCCATAAACGGGACATCGGCATTGTGACCCTCCCAGCCAAGGGTCCGAAAACATAGCAAAAGAGGGAGCAGAAACATTCTAAGAGCCAGAGCTTGGGGGGAAGACTAGGGCAAAACAGTGTCTCTGGACATAACACAACTGTCCTCATGAATTCACAGAAGCTGCAGGTGCCCTTACAAGTGCGAGCCAGCCAACATACCAGCATGGATGGGAAAAGGGCTCTCGAGCCCCATCTCAAGCTGAGGAGCTATTGACAGCTGATGGCTGCCAAGAAAAAAAAGTCAATGAAATGATTCCTAATGATATTCTGCTATACTCATAGATTGGTGCCTAACCCAATTGTCATCAGAGAGGCTTCATCCAGCAACTGAGGGGAGCAGATGCAGAGACCCACAGCCAAACATTAGGTGGAGCTCAGGGAATCCTGCAGAAGATGGGGAGGAAGGATTGTGGGAGCCAGAGGGATCAAGGACACCGTGAGAAAACCCACAGAATCAACTAACCTGGGCTCATAGGGGCTCACAGAAACCGAACCGACAACCAGGGAGCCTACATGGGCCTGACCTAGTCTGTCTGCATATATATGACAGTTATGTAGCTTGGTCTTCTGATGGGACTCTTAACAGTGGGGGCAGGAGCTGTCTCTGACTCTTGTGCTGGCTTTTGGGACCATTTTCCTCATACTGGGTTGCCTTGTCCAGCCTTCAACCTGATGTGCCATGTTTGGTTGATATCTATGGGAGGCCTGTGCTTCTCTGAATAGAAATGGAGGAGCAGTGGATAGAGGTGTAGAGGGGAGAGGAAGGGAGGGGAGGGGAGGGGAAGGACTGGGAGGAGAGGAAGGAGGGGAAACCATGGTCGGGTTGTAAAAATAAATAGATAGATAGATAGATAGATAGATAGATAGATAGATAGATAGATAGATAAATAAATAAAATTTTAAAAAAGAGATAATTTTCTTTAGTGGTGTGATCAGTTGACCATGCTTCAATGGATGGCCCCTCAACCATGAATATATGGGCAGCGTTGATTGGCCTCAATGAGCTATAAAAAAAAAATGAGGACATGAAGTTTGGAGAGAGATATAAAAAGGGGGGCATCTGTAAAGAAATGGAAGTGGGGATAGGGAAGGTTTATGATTGAAATACATTGCATGGACATATTAAATTCTCAAAGAGTAAATTAAAATATTATAATAAGCAAACAGAAACAGAATGAAATAAAGTTTTACCTGCTTTGAAAACCTAAAAAAAAAAAAAGGTCAACAGATGGAATGACAGGTGGCATGAGGCTGCGATTCTCAGTATTCTTAAAACAAGCCCCAGAGCCAGCTATCCCCAGAGACAGAAGCAGTCTGTAAATGGTTCAGGTATTGTTAAGATATTATACTCTATAGTCAATATGTACTCATTTCTGAATGGCTAGGGAAGTGCCAAGGGACTCCCTACAACGGAGG